TCCAGTTCCTGCGGAATTTTTGAAAAATTTTGAAACTTGATGTAAAAAAATCCAGGCTTCACTGTAGTCACTCTCTTTGAAAAAAATCAGAAAACCAAAACTATAACCTTGTGACTGCAGGAATTTTGGGTGGTTGTAGACGAGACTCTGGTAGAACACTGTTGAAAATTTCAGAAAATTCCTGGCACTGGGTAATTTTTTAGAAAATTCCAAGTGATGTTGCGGCCTTAAAGACGAATTGTTTAAAAAAATTGTTTTTTTTTGGGCTAGAAACCGCCTGGGAGGCTCCATCCGAAGGCTACCTGTCGCTGCTGCAGCAGAAGGCGCAGCAGAACCGCGCCACCGCCAAGCAGTTTCGCGAAGTTGAGAGCTACAACCGCAAGGAGGCGCTACTGAGGTGAGTCGCCCCCTCTCCACCGACTCAGTCTGACCGGTTTCTGTCTTATAGGGCGCAGCAGGAGCAGCAGGAGGCGGCCGAAGAGAGCGCAAGAGCGGCGCGTGAGGAGCTGAAGAAGCGGCGCGTGGCGGAGGAGCCGCCGCCCCCCGTTTACGGCCCCATTTTGGAGCCGGGCAAGAACGATCCGTATGGCAAGTGGCATACGGTGCAGCCTGCGTGAGTGGTTTCGACTGCGGTCTGATGCTCGGTTGGGGTTAAAGGGGCGGTGGTTTGCAGGGCGCCRGTGGTGGATTGGCAGCTGCCGCAGCAGCCCCACTTTGAGGGCCCCGTGGTGGAGGCGGAGCCCGAGCCGCAGGTCAAGGAATTCAGGGAGAAAACGCTCGACATGCTGGAGGAAGGCGTGGGGGAGAGTGGCGGGTTTAAGAGGCGCAAAATCCAGGGGGGGCCCAAGCGCAACATGCGCCAGCGGCTGGAGGACGACTAAGGTTTGGACCCGATTTGTTGGGGTTGGACAAAGTGGCGAATGCGCCCAACTGAGTTTTGGGGTTGTAACTGTGGGAAGGAAACAGAAGGCTGAATTAACACCTTGCAGTGTTTGACCAATTTTTTTCCTTGTAAATCTCAGAAAAGCGCCTCTGTGCCTCACTAATAGAGTCAAGTGCGCTCTATGCAGGGGCGTATGAAGTATTTTTCTAGCTCGATTGAAAAATTCGCCAAAAATCCCTAAAAAGCGCCACTGAATTGGAGTTTCCCACCCTACTAGAGTCATGTGCGCTCTATTCAGGGGCGTATCAAGTATTTTTCTAGCTCCATTGGTTTGCTCGGGAAATTTTGTTGAGTGACTGCAAAGCAGCGTCGCGCGAAGTCAAACGTGCGCTCACATGAATCGGAAAAATTCGCCAAAAATCCCCAACACGCTCCAAGGGGCTGCAGTTTGTGGCTCCAATAGAGTCAAATGCACTGTATGCAGAGGCGTATCAAGTATTTTTCTAGTTCGTTTGGTTTTCTCGCAAGAAAATCTTGTAACTAACTGCGCAAAAAATTTGGCGAAAAGTCAAAAGTGCGCTCGCCGTATTGAAAAATTCGCCAAAAATCCCCAAAACGCTCCAACGAACTGCAGTTTGTGGCACTAATAGAGTCGAGTGCGCTCTATCCAGGGGAGTATCAAGTATTTTTCTAGCTCGATTGGTTTTCTCGCAAGAAAATCTTGAAACTAAAAAACTTTTTGAGTTACTGCAAAAAAATGTCACGGAAAGTCAAAAGTGCGTTCGCCTGATTAAAAATTCGCTAAAAATCCCAGAAAAATGCGACTAAATCGGAGTTTTCCCCACTAATAGGGCGGAGTGCGCTCTATTAAGGGGCGTATCAGGTGTTTTTCTACTTCGGTTGGTTTTCTCGCAAGAAAATCTTGAATCTAACTTTGCGAAAAGTCAAAAGTGCGCTCGCCGTATTAAAAACTCGTCAAAATTTCCTGAAAAATGCCACTAAATCGGAGTTTTGCTCACTAATAGAGTCAAGTGCGCTCTATCCAGGGGCGTATCAAGTATTTTTCTAGTTCGTTTGGTTTTCTCGCAAAAAATCTTGAAACTAACTGCGCAAAAAATTTCGCGAAAGGTCAAAAGTGCGTTCGACGTATTAAAAATTCGCCATTAATCGCTGAAAAATGCCACTAAATCGGAGTTTTGCTCCCTAATAGAGTCAAGTGCGCTCTATCTAAAGGCAAATCAAGTATTTCTCTAGTTCGTTTGGTTTTCTCGCAAGAAAATCTTGTAACTAACTGCGCAAAAAATTTCGCGAAAAGTCAAAAGTGCGTCCGACGTATTAAAAATTCGCCAAAAATCGCTGAAAAATGCCACTAAATCGGAGTTTTGCTCACCAATAGAGTCAAGTGCGGTCTATCCAGGGGCGTATCAAGTATTTTTCTAGTTCGTTTGCGTTTCTTGCAAAAAAATCTTGTAACTAAC